ATTCTGTTCATCTGGACATAGCGTTTTAAGTGGGAGAAACGTTTAGTCACTCACTGACTTCTTCCATCTCAGCTGAGTGGAAGTTTCCTCAACCTTATAAACAGTACATTTGCACAATGACTGAAACTCACCACCACTGGTGAACAATGGGCTGTGAGGTCAGTTCATTAATATGCAAATGGTTATGACTATTGATCTTCAACTACTGATTAAAGACCACCGATCAGTGACCATTGATTAATGGCCATAAGTACCATTCACAGAGAGTTGGGGAGTGGCTGCAATCACAGCACTGCAAGATGGCGAATGATGTCCTCTTGGGCCCTGTAGCGTAACTCTTCGGTCCTTCTTTGCTTATTCTGCAGAACGTAAAGTTTCTGACTCGAGCCTTTCTTGGATAGCTTCTATGCTTTATGCCTAACCCGTCTCCCACTGAAAACGCTACGTCCAGATGAACAGAATGAACACTTTGGTAATTATTTAGCTGTAACATGATAGGACAATCAAAAAAAAAATCAAAAAATCAAAAAAGCAGCTATGAATGGTCTAAAAACAAATGCCGATTGCAGGAGCTGGTAAATGACTAGAGCCAAACTGGAACCAAATTGGATGAGATTGACTTCCTCAGCCTGAACAAAAGTAAAACAGAAATTATTTTATTTGATAACCCATCCTGTTAGACTGATAAAACATCACCATTGGTCTTTTAGTTTCTTACTGTCATTTGGTTGCAAAGAACCTTGGTGTGACTTTTGACAGTGTTTTATCACATTAGCTCTGTTATTAAGACCAGTTTCTTTCAACTGAGGCTTCTCAGTTAATAGTTTAATATGTGTATTGAAGGAAATATCCTGGTCAAAAATGGCTCCAAGATTCCTCACAGTGTTACTGGAGACCAAGGTAATACCATCCATTGTAAGCATCTGGTTAGATACAGGATTTCTAAGATTTCTTTGATGAAATACAATAACCCCAATTTTATCTGAATTTAGAAGCAGAAAACTAGAGGTCATACTGGTCTTTATGGCTTTTAGACATTCCTGCAGTTTAACGAACTGTTGAGTGTTATCTGGATTTATGGATAGATAAAGTTGGATATAATCTCCATATGAGTGAAACTGTATGTTATGCAATCTAATGATACTGCCTAAGGGAACCGTGAATAACGTAAACGGAATTGGTCCAAGTGGAACTCCATAATTAACCTTAGTGTGTAAAAAGGACTCAGCATTTACATTTAGATAAGATAACATAAGAATCTATATCACAATATAATGCATTTTCAGTAAATTCAGTGAATAGTTTATATAATCACCACATCAAAAGTACTATTTCTCATATACTTTTAAATGAAATGATCAGTAATGAAATAAATATGGGCCTTACCTGGCATTATCCTATAGCAACACACACTAGATGACTCCATGCGGTCACGCAGGTGCTTTCCTCAGGCCTCCAGCTAACATTACTGCTCCTGTATGGTTGTTAGGAAACTAGCCTGTCTGCAAACGACAACTGCAGATGTCCAGTCTGTGGAGTGCACAGTTAAGCTCATAAAGGTATATGTTGTTCAGCTCCTGCACATATCTGTTGTTGTTTGGTGGGTGGTGACTATACCATGGAAAGTATTGCAAATCATCATCTAAAGCAGGGGTGCCCAACTCCAGGCCTTGAGAGCTGGTGTCCTGCAGGTTTTATATGTGTAAATGGCTAAATTACCTCCTCAACATTTCTTGAAGTTCTCCAGAGGCCTGGTAATGAACTAATCATTTGATTCAGGTGTGTTGACCCAGGGTGATATCTAAAACCTGAAAGACACTGGCTCTCGAGGCCTGGAGTTTGCCACCCCGGATCTAAAGCAATGGAAAAATATTGCAGTAAACAGTAATTTTTGCAACAGCACAAAATACATGAGTATAATCGTCTATCATCTAATATATTTTCGTCATTTGCACAGCCCTGATTTAACCACAATCTGTCAATCTGAAGGCACTTCACACACTGGAGTGCCAGTTCACTTGCCCGTTCTGTGAGAAAGGGTTCTTGCACATGACTCGGCAAATGGCCATCCACATGGTGAAAAGCAGTTGCAGGGCATGCAACAAATAGTTCACTTGACTGTCAGGCTTAAAGCAGCAAAAGTGCTGCGGTGAGCAGCTGGAGCTGGACAATGTTCGAACAGACTGTGCAGACCAAGAACCCAGATAAAAAAACATTTTCCTGCCATGAGTGTGAGAACAGCCTGAAATATCACATGAGGAATCAGACTGGAGAGAAGCAAATCAAACTCCATTTGTGAGAAAGGTTTCACAGTGAATGCAGTACTGAACAAACATCTGACTACTCAATCATTTGTTAAACCCTTCAGTTACCACTTTTGCAGTGAGGAAGATATCTGGAAAGACATATTACTCAGCACACAGATTATTTCTTAATCTGCAGAAAATTCTTCATACAGTCTCAAACATAAAGTGACATATCCAGTGGCTGAAGCTGAGCTGCAGGAAGGAAGGTTCACACAAGACTGACTTCATACATGAGTCTATAGAATAAACCACAGACAAAAAAGAGATACAGGAACATATGGAAGGCAAGAAGGACGTGAGGAATAAACTGAGACCAAGAACAGACACAACTGGCCAGTAAGCAGACTGAACATTCTTATGTGGTTTGTAGTGACACATTTGGTTCATTTGCAGTTCACTTGGATTTTTATCTGTGTGAAAACAAACCTAACCATGGGTAAAAGCTACAAGTTTACAAACTTGTAGGTCTGAAAACACCCTTAGATTCCAAACAGGAAACAGAGTTCCTCAGTCTCAGTTTCCCTCTGAGATTATCTGATTCTGAACGTTTTTTTTCTTTTTGGTGGAAAAGTAAAAGTTGACCTGGCTTTTAGACCACACTGAGGAAGTGGATATGCTGCTGAGCCTCTTTCAGTGGAGTGTTTGGAGTTTGGAGTGTTCAGATAAATGTTCAAAATTACAGGGTAATTCTGAATAGTCATTCATCTCTAAAATTCTTTAGAAAGCTTTTTCACTTGATCCAGAGTGCACCAGATGTAGTGAGATATTCATTCCCAGCTTATTTGTGAAAACATGAAGCTGACTTAGCAAATGGAATGATCAAAAATGCAGCTGTCCATCAGATGGCACTCTGTTGCAGATTCAGAATACGTTAATAATCCCTAAGGAAGTTACATAAATTATGTTTATCTCAGATTATAATTACTGATCAGTTCCTGATTAATTTATATTCAAACAGCTGTTAGTGTTTGAATAAGAATAAAATGTGTATGTTTTTCTGTCATATACTCATAGACTTAGGGTGTGATTTGTAAAAACAGGGAGCACTGGGATTGGTTTAGTGGACTTTCAGTGGGAGTAGTGTTTCATCGCTCTAGGTGATGTCTTCAGTCTCTAAACCACAGTGCTCCCTTGTACTCTGTACCTGTCACAACATATTGCTGTTGATAAACCTAGCACAAAAAGTAAGGACATTTGTCTTTGGCTGATTACTTCTTTGTTGTAACAATGCTTCCTGGCAACACATTTTATATTGTTGGAACACGACAATAAACAAGAGTAAATCAGCTGTTTGACACTAGCAAAGAAGTTTTTCATGGGCTCAGGCCACATACTCAACTCTGCTACGCAACCCACAAATACATTTTCCTTAAAAAAGTGGCACCATTTAAGCGGAAATAAACAGGCTTTCCAACAATATAGGATATATTGCGTTTCACAGAAGCATTGTTACGATAAAGTAATAAACAAACAAACAAAATTACCTTGCTTTTGGTGCTAACTTTAAAATAATTAAGAACAAATACAGAATAATTAGGATTATTATAACTTTAATCATAAACAGCTTTGGCATGGACACTGTAACATATTTTTCTTTAAATAATATGCACAGTACTCTTCACATTTTCTTCTTTAGGCACATAAAACCCAGTCAATCATAATGCCAGCGTTGGCATACAGAAAATATTTATGCCAACATTTGAACACAAAAAGAACATAACACAATTTGGAAAGTACGGGCAGGGCGGCGCCCATCGGCAGCAGACTTTCCAGGTTGGCAGTTAGTTCATTATGCTGCCGGGTCGTTATCGCATATTTATTAACTTGTGAATAATGACTGACTGTCAGATTAGGGTTGACCTGTCTAAACAGCTGTACCTTCACGCAATGCCAATGAACAGTGCACGGAATTTCCTTAGACTCTTTTCACTGCAAATTCCTGCATGATGCCTCTTTTTAAAATTTAATTACCGTTGTTTTCACGCAGAAACAGCAGCACCTATAGCTTAATAGATATCCCTTAGCTTAAAAATCAGAAGTTAATGTCTTAGATAATATAATATATACTTTGACATAACTTGTGTTACATAGCACTACAGTCTTTTCGATTAGATTACACTGTATTATCGTTTATAATTATGTCTGTTAGAACTCACAGACGGCCTGTATTTCATGAATTCTACACTTTCTACTTTAAATTTAAAGTGGTGTATTTTTAATTTGTTTTAATGCGCTCTTACTGAAGCGTAGAGCTGCCACCCAGGCAAAAAAAAAAATAGAGCTATATTACGTTATAACCTGAAAAGTTTGTTTTTCTAACGCTATACTTTTCATGTTTGTTCAATATACCATCAGTACAATATACTTTTCACGTTTTCACTTTATTAAAATATACATAATTATCACGTTTTTAGCAAAAACATTTTAGGTTCTTACAATATCAATATTATAATGTACTAACGTTTTCTTTTGTCTGAGTGGCAGCTCTACGCTGTACCATTATTTTTTCACATTATTAAATATGTTTGTTATCGATCCATCAGTTGACTGGGTGACTGACTGATGACGCTGTTTGTAGCTTCCTCTGCAGCTCTATCTTTAGCTCCTCCCCCCCGCCCGACCAGCTGATCTTTGTTGTAGTACGTCACGTCGTGCCCCCCTCCCTCCCCGTCATGTGAAGATTTATTTATTTTCTCCTCCTCGCCCCTGCGCCTGTTATCGCCGAGAAGCACCGGACAACCACAGCGGGACACCGCGACCACAGAAGGCCAAGCATTAGGGCCGCAGGGCCGGGAGGAGCGGGACGGAACCGCCGCTGACCCCGGAGGCGACATGACTGCGGAGTAGCGAGCAAAAGGACGCCGCTGCGCCTGCTGGTGAGCCGGAGGAGGAGGAGGATGGTGGTGAATGGTGGATGGTCTGATGGAGGTGCAGCTGCAGGTGGAGCGGCTCCTCGAGCCTTCGCCGCGGCAGCAGAGCCGCTGAACGCACCTGGAGCTGGACAAAATAATGTGAACACTTTGCAGCTCCCTGGCCTTCGTCGTTAACATCATCATTTATGATTATGATGACGGGATCCAGTCACGTGGCTCTGGCCTGACCGACGCTACCTTCTCTTCCAGCGGCCCACAGACACAATGTCCGGGCCGGCTGGACCGGCACTGGCCGCGGCGCCCGGGCTTGGGCCGGAGCTGCCGGACCTGAGCCACCTGACGGAGGAGGAGCGCAGCATCATTCTGTCGGTGATGGAGAGGCAGAAGGAGGAGGAGACGAAGGAAAAGAGCATGCTCAAGTAAGATTATTGATTATGGAATCAGCTGGTGTTCAGAGAAAATAAAAGCATCAGTGAGCATTTTAATTAAAAAACCTCAGCAGCTGCAGCAGGAAGGTTTAACAGGAAGTTGACCTCTCCAGATCGTCAGTGGCAGAAGCAGACTGCAGGTGTTCAGGCAGCAACAGAAGAAAAAAAGTAAAGATAAAATAAAGTAAAGATTTAAAAGCTGCTCATAAATTTGGAGTTTACTTAAAAACAAAACCGATTAAACGGATCAGAAATGGTTATACCCACACAGCACGCTGGTCTGGCCCGGATCTGGTGTCAAGCCGGTGTTCACACCGGCACTGCTGGCTGACGTCTGGCATGCTAAGTAGTATGTCATCCAGATATGGGCCAGGCCTGGCATAGTTGTCACTGTTTAAGTGATGGCATGCCGTATCTGGCTCGATTGTGGTTTGGTTTATGTGGCCCAGGCTCATAGAAAATGGGTCTGGCCCAGATCTATCATCAAGCTGGCACTTCTGACTGACTGGTGTCATGGCAGGGTGTATTCCAACCAGATGTGGGCCAAGTCTGGCATTGATGGCACTATGCATGTTCCTAATTTCCTATTTTAGTTTGAAGACCCAAATCCCATGTTGCAATACTATA